ACCCCCACCCTACGCCCAACCCGGTTTTCCCATCTCTCATACTTTTTCTTCATTTTTCATGTTCAAAATCTCTGCTTTTCTTCTGGGTAAGCCCTAATTTCTCCTCTGATTCACTATTTTTCTTTTCCTTTTTTGGCTTTGTGTTACTTAATAATCTTCAATTCTGATGTTATTCTGCTTATTAACAACTTATATTTGTCAATTAATTCCCAAAGTTGCTTCCTCTTTTGCTACTATAAATAAAATTTCATGTCTTAGCGCGTTGTCTTTTCTCATTGCAGCTGGAATTGACCCTTTATCCTCTCCTTTTGTTTTTGCCTCAGTTGTTTTTTGCTTAATTTAGGAGATCGACTGTGCTACTGCTTCTATTAACAAATTGACGATCGGTAGACTGCACCCATAATCTTTTTGGTGTGTATTTTCCTACTCCTTTTCACAAAATTATTGTGCTTTTTTTGTGTGTGTATTGTCAAATGTGCTCTGTAGATTTCATAGTCTAATAATTTAGCTTCCTGCAAAAAATGCCAGTTCCTTTACACCTGGATCCTCTGTGAATTACTTTGCCTTCTTTTTGGCTAATTGTTCAATTATAAACAGTTTAATTGTTTTCTTGCTCCCTTTTGTCTTCTATCGTCTTATTAAACTTTACTAGGGGCATGATGATCTCTATTCTGTCAAGACTTAGATGAGAGGATCAGTGAGACTTTACATTATGAAAACTTTGGCAATTGATCAGTGGTTAGAATTAAAAAATGAACCGTCAGCTTGATCAGTTTGCCATTATATTGGACTTTCATGGTAAAGATTATGGGAAAATGAGGAAGCTGGAATGAGCACCAACTGAGGTTAATTCTGATGATCCTTAATCTGTGAAGCAGCTATCCAGAAGAATGAGTTATTTGAGGGCTGCCCTATTTTCGAAAGAAAACTCTGGATCGCGATTAATGTTTCTATAGTGGATAGTTATTTCTAAACAAATAATCCATGTGCTTGTTAAAGAAGATTGGTAGCTTAAGCGGATGTCCTTTGAATGGTGGCTGTGGTAGAGAGGGATGTGTTTGGATAATTTTGTGCAACGTTACTACGTGGTCGTATTCATAGCAGAATTTGGCAGCTTAAGTGAATTGGCAATCATTGTCATATAGGTCAACATAGAAAAATAGCTGCATCAGAAGCAACTTGATTGTGTTTTGGAAAGGTGATACTATATTCAATTTTAATTTTTTTTTGTTGTATTACCCAGGGGTAGGGTAAGGTCTGCGTACACACTACCCTCCTCAGACCCCACTTGTGGGATTCAACTGGTTGGTTGGTTGTTGTTGTTGTTGTTGTTGTTGTTGTTGTTGTTGTTGTTGTATTCCAAAGACTGAGGGTACTTCAAGGAGGAGAAATCATTTAGATGAGGAAGGATATCCGCTTAACAAATGAAGGCAGCCCCATCCAGAACCAGTCAAACTGAATGAAAACCACAAACTCACCAGGAGAAGGTTCTCAAACTTAGTATCTATTCTGCCTTTGGAAAGAAAAACCTATGCGAAATCTCAGTGGCAAAGACGGTAGCCTCCATCCTCAACTTTCAACTTCCCAAAACACTCAGAATATGTAATAGATCATATCCACCAAACTGACGTGGATTATGCATCTCCAGCCTTTTCAATTCAAACAAGCTTGTTGGTTGTTGTTCTTTAGTTGTAAAATTTTATCTTAAGGTTATTCTGGAGTTATTCTAAGTAGTAGCCATCAAATATGCATGCATCATGCATGAGCATGCAAATACATCATACATATATCTCTTCTGTATTTTGCGCAATGTTTGGAGGTAAATGTCATTGTAGCTCGGTAAAGAATAGGGGTTATAAATTAGCCAGCCAAGTCCCCCATTGCTGTTGAACCATGTACGATTTGTAGTTTTGAACTAATTCTCAAGCAGCAGAAGATAGTTCATCATGTCTAACTCATCTGAATGTGGCTCCTCTTTCCACTTGTAGTTTCTGTTCTTTCCCTTGTCCAAAACATTACTTTTGTGCAAGTTTCAGTTGCTGAATATTCATCTGTGTTTTGATTTCATCTTGCACTCTCTGTTTTTATGCAGATGGATGCAAACTCAGATGCTGTTTCACCTGAATTTTCTGATTATGTGTTTGGCCACATGAGTAGCATTTTGGCTGTTGGCCAAGCTGGACTTCCTCCTTCATGTGCTTTATGTCATAGATTGTTGATATCAGATAACGAGGCTGGTGAGTTTGAAGCAATAAATATATGTGCTGATTGTAAATTTTTACTCCTGGAGGATCTTGGGACACCCATGCGAGATTATCAAAGGAGGACGCCTGTGTCGAGAAGAAGGTTGTACAGTAGTTCTGAGTCAATTGAGAATCTCTTTTCTCNGGATGCCTGTGTCGAGAAGAAGGTTGTACAGTAGTTCTGAGTCAATTGAGAATCTCTTTTCTCAACACTTCTCACAAATGATAAATTTGGCAAGGCAAAACCCAGCCAATGGTCTAGAGCATGATAATCAATCAATAGAAGGAGATGCTGGTTTAAGGTCAGTGCAGCACACCAGTTCTCGGACCACTCCAAGTGGGTCTAGGAGGTGGAGGAGGGTTCATTCTGACACTGAAAGTGATGGTGCTGATTCTCTATTTGGGGAGACTGAATCAAATGTCACCTTCAACGGGTATAGGAACTTTAATAGTGAAATTGAGTCCATTTCTTATAGTGCTTATGGAGGGAACTCTGATGCTTCTGTTGATGGTAATAGTTACCTTGATAATGATCATTCTGCTCACTCAGATGAAGGAAGTGACTTCGAAACTGATACTGATATTGACCCAATGGGTGCTGGTATGTATCACTGGGACTCCGATAACGAGGAAGAAGAAGAAGATGACAATGAATTGGAGGAGGTTGATACTGATGCGGTACACACTCTGGATGCTAGAGCTCAACTTCAAAGGTCATTACACCTTAATGAAAGCAGTCACCCTGGAAATTGGCCCAGACAGTTACGTTCTCCTGAGTTTCAGGCTACAGTTCGTTTCAGAATTCCCGAGGGCAGTCGAAGACATGTTACTGACATGTCAGCCAACTCACAGGAGTTAGAACTGCGGACTGATTCCAGTGACTATCTTGATGCTAGAACTTTCGAGGAGTTACTAGAGCATCTCTCTGAAGCAGATGGTTTAAGAAGAGGAGCACCACCTGCAGCTGTCTCTGTTTTAAATCATCTACCACGTTTGGTTGTT